GGAGGTGTTTCCTAGTTGGTAGGGAGTAGGCGATAATTAGCCTTCATTGCTGGCCTAGCTTCAGGATGAATTTGAGATATCTCTGATGTTCTATATTCAAGGCATCAGTCTGTAACCTCATGCACAAATCAAGAAATTCATAGGAAATATTTAAGCTTTGAGTCATTTTCTAAGTTTTACTCATATGAGTGTCTTTGTGGAGAATATTATTTGGTTAATACTAATATCTATCATGTGTTACAATTTATTAGGGTAAGAATCACACTTTGATATTAAAATAGATATCTTTAGTCCTACAGTTTTGTTTCTACCATAATCAAAATGCAGTAAATCATTTGTGATCCCAATATTTAGCATTGTTTGCTTTCTATTTGGTTACTTGAAAGTATCACAAATAATGTTTTAACATGATTTGGAGAAACAAATCTGTTTTGAAATTGACCAAACTGAAGATTTTCCATTTTCTTTTTTTTCTTTTTTGTTCTTTTTTGTTGGTCATGGGGCTTGAACTCTGGGCCTAAGCTCTTCAGCTCAAAGTGAGTGCTCTACTACTTGAGCTACAGTGCCACTTCTGGTTTTCTGGTGGTTAATTGGAGATGAGTCTCACCAACTTTCCTGCCCTGGTTGGCTTTGAACTGCAATCCTCAGATCTTAGCCTCTTGAGTAGCTAGGAGTTCAGGTGTGAGCCACTGGCACCTGGCTTTCCATTTTCTTTTATTGCAAACACTAGGGAAAATTTATCAGTGTGTTCTGAGTTGCTCTTGTCATAGGTAAAATGAATCCTCTGGGAGAGGAGACTGGGTGCTGAATGCTGTAGCATTGACTCTGGCTGGGTTAGATACAGGCTGCCAGATGAGGAAAGGAGTTTCAAACCATAAGTTGGTCATTCAGCCTTTTCAATATGCTGTGACTATTTTCTTTCTGTGGACCAGAAATTGGGGAGACGAATGAGACAGTGGAATAGTCTTACTTCTGAGTCAATTCTATTTGACAAAGCTTTAGAACATTGAGCACAGTTCCAAATGTGCCTGGCCTACCTTAGTTCATATGTGTCCAGACATTTCAGAAGCCCAAGAGCACTTTTCTTGAGAATCCTGCAAACATTCCTAGTGATGGCGCTGGATTGGGTTTTGGTTTTTACATTTGAGCTTTGGGCACACAGTTTCATAAAGGAATTTTATATTCAACAATGAATCTCTAGACACTTATTTAAGAACTAAACATCTCAGATGCCAATGACTCAAAAGTACAAAATGTAAATGATATTGCCATTTAGCACATTTAGTTACACACAGTGCTATACATGCAGATACTGCACCTTGATCTTACTCATTCTCTACTGTTCTTTCTTAACCACTCTCACCTCAGGACAAATACTTTGATTTTGTTCACAACATGGGGTTAAATCCCCCAAGCCTCGAATGACTTTTCATTATCTATGATACTATGTACTTTTGCTAAGGCTATCATAGCCTTAGGGTAGCTCATATTGTCATAGGGTTGGTTTCTTCTGAGGGATGTGAGACAGAATCTATTTCCCTTACAGCCCCTAGCTTCTGGTGGCTTGCTGGTCATTTTCTAGTGTTGTTTTGCTTGTAGAATGAGTACCCCACTCTCTGCTTTATTTTCATGTGATGCTCTCCCTGTATGCACATCTTCCTATTTTCATGATTTTTAAAAATAAGGACACTACTCATATTAGTTTAGGGTCTACCCTAGTCTCTTGACCCCTAATTTTAACTAATTACCTCCATAACAATCCTTTTCCAAATAAGTACTTCACGTTCTGAGATTCTAGGTTATGACTTCAACAAATGAAATTCGGGGAATACAACTGAAATCATAATACTCAAAGGTGTTTCATGATGATTAACATTCTGGGAAGAATGTACTCTGCTGAAATTGAGTTGTGGTAACTTTAGTTTTCTGGGCCATATAACTTTCATAATCAGAGGTTAAAAACTATAAAATACTATTATTCCCATAGGAGAAAAACAAATGCTTCTGGGGTCCTGTCTGTTTGATGTGACAATGAAAAGGTGTAGTCTCTAAAATAACACAGAAAGATCTCAAAACGTAATATCTTCAGTAGAGTCATCTTAGTACTAATTCTCCATTAATATCATTACTCAATTTCTAGACATGATCCGTCTTTCCTAAAAATAATTACTATTACTGAAATCTAGAAGAATGATTCTAACTGGCAATGAAAATCAATCTTTGTGATATTCCATTCTCCTTTTGTAGATTTAATCCAGACAAAAGACTGCAAGTGGGAGAGGAGGCAGAGAGTGAGCAGACTTGCTTCTTGTGTGCATGTGTGAAAAAAATGTATGTTCTTTATCTACGAATCATAGTAATAAATGAATTAGGAAAAGAAATTTTATCTACCCTTTTTTCGAGGTTTACACATCAGTAGGATGGTCTTGGGCTTATCATTCATATTTAATGCAAGAATAGATAAAATATTAAAGTGTTATATATCTGAATTCATTCTGTCTTGCTTCAATTTGGCATTGTTCATTGCCATACTAACAGAGACATACATATATATGTATATATATATGCAAATCAAGGATGAGTGAATTTATTGCTTAAAATGAAAGCTTAGTAGCAGTGTAATACAGAATAAAGGAAATGCATACACCACTTTTAATTTTGAGGTTAGAAAACTACGATGATTATATTTTTGCACTTGATATATCAATCAAGAGATTATTTAAAAAACTTGGTACTAAATATTCTTTACATGATTATTCCCATTTTAAATTTGTATGGATAGAAGAAGCAGAGATTAGATGAGTGATTAGACCCATTTATTTTGAATTGTATTTGGGCTAAACCAAAAGAAAAAGATGAGTGTTACTGTAATTAGGCAGGTTAAATAGGAGCTCTGTATTCATAGGGCAAGAAGAAAGTTGCTGATGGCTTGCCGGTCTGTATTAACATTTGCTTACTATAGCTAGTGTAGAAATGTAGCCAATCAGATCTACCTGGGACTAATCCAGATCCTGTCTATATTAACCACAATGACCAGAATTTAACAGCTGTATGATTGTATTCAAGGTGCTTCTCTTAGATATGACACATCCTCTTCCTCCCACCATTGATTTTGCATTTTTAGATGATCTAGTAAAATATGGGCCACATTTATCTTTCTTATGTGGAATACCACACATCTCTGTCCACGCATCTCTGTCTCTTTATATGGTTATGTGTGTGTGTGTGTGTGTGTGTGTATGTGTGTAACAGTGGAACATGCTAGGCAAGCCCTTTATTACTACGCTGCATTTCTGTCTCTCAATAGGTAACTTATCACAGGTAAAAGTGATTTTTTAAAAAAGCTTCCCAAGTAATTGAAGCAAGCACACTGCTTTTGACAAAATTAAAAATTCCAAGAGATGCTTTGGTAAGGGTGGGAAAAAATTAGCTTTCCAAAGCTAAACTACAGCCCTTTCCTCCAGCCAGGAAAACATGACCAATAAACAACAAATTGGAGGGTTTTTTTTTTTAAAGAGAAGATAGTTATTAGTAGATTTTTCACTTATTATAATAACAAAAATTTCTTGTGCTACTTGGAAAATATTCAACATATAACCAGGAAGGTATCATTAACTTAAAACAGCAAAATTTCAGCAGTAAAAATTGGACCCAGACTCCTAGGCTCCACAGTGTGAATAATTACCTGGCCTTATATACAGACTTTCCAGATTCTAATGCTACCTCTGTAGAGCCACTGTGTAACTTATAACAATATTTATGCCCAATCAGCTCTCCAGTATTAAGTTGATAGTCATAAATGAACTTCAGAACCTACTATAGTATTTGTTTAATGTCAGTGACCAGCCTCAGACAAGAGAGGGGAGGGAATGCCAGGGCCTCACAGTGTAACCCAGACTAGCCTCAAACGCATGATCCCATTGCCCGTGTGCTGGGAACACAGGAATATATCACCACATCTGACTTAGATATGATCTAACTGCTTAAATGAACCTGTACTAATTCAGTTTTTTGGTTCCACTTAAAACCCATGTCTTTAGACATGTCATTTGGACATGGCTAGGCATATTTTCAACATGCATGTAACATAAAATACATAAATGTTAGTATCTATAAAGTATAATATTGAATAGTTGTGCATTATTCCTTACTCCTTGAACACTAAATAAGCAAAATTGATTTTTTTCCACAGTAAGATATGACTCCTGGATTACAGTCGAGGGTTAAATTAGTGGGGAGTAGGTAGGTCCATGCATTGACCCTGTCACTGTAATACAAATCTTAGTTGGTCACCCTGGCAGCCAACCAGCCAACTTTGAATGTGCTTCCTTTTGATCCCGATCCAAGACTGTATTCCCTGTCAGAGTTTTCATCCTTCAGTGGTAAAGCTATTGGTCCTGCCTAGCTTATTGCACAAATAAAAAAGTACATATGAAAATATAAAAATATAAGCATGCTGAGAGATATCTTGCCATGATGATATCCCTTCTATCCATCCTTGGCAAGACAAAAGAAACCATTGTTTATTCTCACTAGAAAGTATGTGGGAAACGAACTCTATATCGTGTGGGTGGGGAAAGGAGGGAAAAATTGGGACAGAGAGAGGGAAAGAGAGACATGGTTCAAAAAGAATTATACTCATTATCTGATTCATGTAACTGTGATCCCTCTGTATATCAACTCTACTATAACAATACATTCAAAAAATTAAAAAATTGGAGAAAAAGAAACCACTATTTATGTATAAACATCTCTGCAACAAGGAGAAATAGTAGTAGGCTAAAAAGAGTAGTGTTTGGGATTGAACTGTGCCTATGAACAAATGGATATTTTTTTTCTTTTATTTAGGGCAATAGTGCTAGATTCTGTGGTTGATGAACAAGTAGGAAAATAAAATGATGATTAATTTCAGCTTTAAGAAACCAATAGCCATTGCATTTCATAATGGATTGTACCTCTGGGGTACAAAATGGTCCTAATTGCCCTGCTCTTCTTCACAGGACTGGCCTTTGCTATTCTCTCCTCTGTGCACCCAGTGTTTGGCTTGTATGGGTCTCTGTTTCCTGCCATCATTTATGCCATATTTGGAATGGGACGTCATGTGGCCACAGGTAATCATTTCTATGTTTATGTTTCTCCTGCTACTAATCAAAGAGACTCAGAGTAATCCTTAGTTACCGATTGCATTTCCAAAGCAGTTCTAAATGCAATGCTGAAAAGCTTAGCAAATATTAGAGCCAAGCATATCCGTGTTTCAGATAAGCAATGCATACTGTGATTTACTGGTATATTACTGTGAATGCAAATTATTACTAAGAAGTCTTGTGCAGTTTTTAGTAACAAAAAAATGAAAGAAAGGGAGAAGCTTCTGGATTTACAATAAGAGAAAGTGCACACTTGAAAGAAAACAAAGACTATGAAGTTTATTATATTGAAGAATATTTTACATGTATTTGACACTTAGATCAAATGATCTTTTAAGTTTCTTCCAGACTGCATTCTATAGTACCCTTTAATAAGTATGTACTGCATTGCCTAGGTGTTCATTACTCAAGAATTTGTAAGCAATCACAATTTTTCTGGTAATACAGCAGGGTGAATTCTGGTCATAGTTGGGCCTGGTTCGTGTCTCCTGTATGTGCTACCTGAGTGACTCACTCTGTCATCCTCGTGATAGGATGAACCCTACAGTTCATGTAATTTTAGTGAGAGCTAGATAATTAATGTATAATATTTAGTACTTGCTTCCTAATAAGATTTAATAAAGTTGTTTATTTGGTTATGATTATTATAAAATGATAACTTTAATCTTAAGTATTCTGGCAATACAATTATATTTAAATGGAATTTTCTACAGAGGTATTTCTTGTTGTGGCTGTACAAATTGTCATGAGTTTGGAAACTTAGAACAAGGAAAAGTTTTCCACAGCTCTGCAGGTCCATAATTTCAAATGATACATGGTTAAAACTGAAGTGCCTGCAAGGGTGTGTTTGTTTTTGAAGAAAGCCATCTTCTGGACTTCTCTGTCTCCTAGAATCCTCTTGCTTTCCTTGGCTCAGGGACTTATCAAACACCTTCAAGGTCAGTAGTGCAACATCTTTGAATCCCCTTCTGATTCTATCTTTGAAGAATTTTGTGAGTTCACTGAACTTACTTATTGAATAATCAGGATAATCTCCTTATTTTAAGGTCAGCTGATTAGCAATCTTAATTCCATCTGGAGCATGAATTATACTTGCCATAGAACATAACATTCACAGGTTCTGGAGTTTAGGACCTACGCATATTTCAAATTTTGTCCACCACATTGGCTTGTAAATTTTCTCAGGAAATTCATCTAAACTTGGATTTTTATATCAAATAGCGTTATAGTGGGGGTAGTATGTGAAATTTGCAGTCATGCACAATGCTGCATTGTGTGAGAATTTGTGAGAAATGGAAAAAAAATCTTGGCTTCTTCTTCAGACTTACTGAATTATAATCAGCATTTTCAGAAGATCTCCAGGTTTCATGGACACACACACACACACACACACACACACACACACACACACACACACACACACACACGTTATAAGCCACCATCAACAATAAAGAGCATATAAAAGCAAAGTCCCATAAGATGAGGTCACCTGGTAATGTCCCAGTTGTCTTAGGCTGAGTAAGTACACTGTGATATTGACAACACATTGTCTGCAGTGTATTTCTCAGAATGTATCCCTATTAAGAGAAACATGACTGTCATAAGATATATATTGTCTAGGGCAATGTATACATGTATACATAGCTTGCATGTGTGCATATACATGTACATACATGTATGTGTATATGTTTGTACATATATGCACGTATATCTATTTCAGAGAATTATGGAAGAGCTTTATGCAGGCATAATGGGACATCCAGCACTCAGAAGGTTGAGACAAGAGGATAATAAGTTTGAAGTTGGTCTGGGCTACGTAGTAAGTTTCAGGCTAGATTGGACTAATATAATGAGATCTTTGTCTCAAAAAACAACAAAAAGAAAGGGCAACATAAAAAAAAGGAAAGGAAACTATACAAATACTCTACCGGTTTGCTCTATCCCTGAGGAAGAGTATTTGTATAGTTTGCACAAATCCCTAGGTTCAATCACTAACATCACACAAATTAAGCTTTATTTTCAAGAACCCCTCTTAAATAGACAGTGTTATTTGCATATTTCAGACAAAAAAGGAAAGAAAAGTAAAGATCCTGCAAGCCCTAAAATTCAGGAAGTTTCTCATGAGAGCTCAGATTAAAGTCTTAGATATACCATTTGAAAAGTCCATGTAGCTGAATCTAAAACCTAAGCGATTTTTTTTATCTTATTGAAGGATCTTTCCTGTTGTCCTGATGCAAAAGGAGAAAAGCACTAGAGTAGGTTAAAAATTCTTCATGTTTATTACCTTTTAATTATCCTGTGTCCTTATTTCCTAACAGTTTATTTTTATTTTTTAGAACATTTACATATGTTTTTATAAAGAACCAAATGGTTTTAGAGCTGACCCCACAAGCATTTCCTCTGTTTAGGCACAAGATAAAAGAGTAAAGCAAAGCCAATTTGCTCAAGAGACCATAATTATACTTAGAAGTCAAAAATACCCAAATTGATAATGCTTAAATATGTACTTAGATAGCCATTTTACTTGTTGGATAAGTACTGCAAACATTTTGCTGCTCACATAGTTTTGAAATGATCATTTACATAAGATTCTGTAACTAACAGATTATTAACAGATTATTATCAACTATAGGAAACTTGTGGTCTCTTTAGGTAAATAACAGGCATTTCAAAATACATGCAATTTACAGACATTTCTCTCTGAAAAATAAATGTTAATGCTATTTTATTTCTGAATTTATATTTTACAGAGTAAGCTGAAACATCTTATTTTAGTTTTAACCTGATATTTATTTGTTTAAAATCAGTAAGAAGGAGCAGATCCTTAGACTTTATGGCACAAGATGTAAATCAGAAATGAATCACTTTTTGAACTTGCTATGGTCCTAAATATGGAACAAATGAGTCTCACCAAATGTCCCTACAAATATTTAATACACAGAACAGATTTCTCTTTTATTTAACTTTACTGTAGTATATGCTATGGAAGGACTTACTCACTCTGCTTTATTAAGATACTAATGTTACTTTTGTGACTTGGGTTTTATCTTCCAGTTAGGTGTTCAAAATGGAATACTGGACTCCATGGCAAATAATGGTGGAAGCATCTTTTAAAAACAAATGATTCAGGCTGGGAATGTGGCTTAGTGGTAGAATGCTTGCCTAGCATGCATGAAGCACTAGGTTCAATCCCTCAGTACCACATAAACAGTAAAAGCCAGAAGTGATGCTGTGGCTCAAGTGGTAGATTGCTAACCTTGAGCAAAAGAAACTCAGGGACAGTACCCATGCCCTGAGTTCAAATCCCAGGCCTGACGAAAACAACAACAGCAGCAACAACAACAACAAAAAACTCAAAACAAGTAAATGATTCATCAAGCCACAGAAAGTCCTATTTGCTCAACAATGCAATATTTTAATCTTAATATGCAAATATTTAAACTTAAAATATAATTATTTTAAAACAAAACATAATCTTGACATCTAGAAGCTACAAAAAAACCCAACTTTGTTTCTTCGTATGCAAAAGGAAAAAAAATCTGGATATGTATCCAATGGAAACAATACTGCTGAAGATTACCAAAATGTGGTAATTTGTAGGACCTTTTCCTCAGCTAACTATGAAAGTGTTTTGAGAGGACACAGTCTGTTCAGCAATGGAGGATGTTTGTCAAGGATAACCTCTACACAGAGTGAAATAAATATTTACTGAGAGCTTACAATGAGGGAGCAACCCTGCCAACCAATTGCTTTCAAATCAGGGAAGACTTGTTTTTTCTCTCTCCATCAAAGCCTACAAAGGTCCTTACTCTCCTACCATTTGATGACTCCTTCTTATCTTTCTTAAAATCCCAAGAAAGTTAAATCTGAATGCAAAGATGAACTCACTTCTATCTTAAAAAGTTTCTTTAGGCATTTGCACAATCACTTCTATATAAAACAGTTTATTCTGTAGTCTACTAGATTTAAAGACCAGAAGAGACACTTTTAACTTTCAGGAGTGTCTCATTTGGTCTCAATATCATCCTGTTGTAAAACACCATGAAAAATATGTTTTCTAAAAACTAGGTTCCATGGTGAATATATCTTACTTAATGTTATCTATCCTGGAAACTGGATTCTTGTCTCTCATCATCAGTTATGTTAGTTCCTTGAGGTGATGATGATAGTGATCCTGATGATTAGTATTCATGAATTTATTAATAGAGAATGACTTAGCTTGCACTGAAGATTTCTCTGATTTTATATACCATCATCTCTTAGAGAAAAACAAAGAATAACAGACCATAACAGACCATTCTGACCTTAATTGTAGGAATCATCTGAAAAACTAACACTAACACTCAGTGCTAACTACATGTCAGTAGTTAACTTTACGAAATATGCTGTAATTTATTATCTTATGTAAGCCTTAATAGCCCCAGTGTATGAAGAATATGATCTTTTACAAAGTGGTCTAGGGTAGCAATTTGGCATTTAAGGCTAAGTTCCTATATTGTCATCATATTGTTCTGAATTCAAAACACATATTGCTTGTCTTATCCAAATGCCCTTATCAATCAAGAGTAGTGTGTTGTGGGTTTCCATTGAGATCTGTTTCTGTCGGACTCACATCTTTCTTTCCTGGTCCTGCTGCCCATGTACTTTTTTTCACAAAGCCTCACTTACAACTTGAAGCAAAGCAATCTTTAACTGCTGAGTCAGGGGATGTCTGCAACATGTAGTATGGTTCTTTATCTTGAGCCTGTCTGAGGAAGTCAACATTTCCCTATTTGTGTGACTGCATTGTTAGACAAACTATGTCAAAATTGATGCTAGGAACTCTAAGAAAAAAATAGAAGACCACAATAACCATGCTCCCATAAAAGTAGGAGGCCATGACAATTTCTAGGAAATATCATTAAACTTTGTCTAATAGCTATAAAAAGAAATGATATATTTAATCATTTTATAGGCCATACCATGCTGTTATAAAGGAATACTCAGCAATGAGTCATAACAGGTGCAAAATTTTAAGCCAGGAATAGTTAATTGGGATGCATCCTTGTATATTTGAAATTTGAGCCAGATACTTAAAGAAAATCAGGCTTATGCAGGTGCATGTGAAGAGAAAATGTTTCAGCCAAAGAGATTATATTGACCACTGAATTTAATGAAGTCTTCAATTCTCTCCTTTATATTCACCCTAAAGCCTAAACTGCATATATTGCCATCATTTAAGGGACAAGGCAATTTACACCGAGTAAAATACGTGTGGTCACATTGAAAGTTAAGTGATTGGAGTTAAATCCAAGCAAGAATTAATAATGTGCATAATGTGTGTGTGTGTGTGTGTGTGTGTGTGTGTGTGTGTGTGTGTGTGTGTGTGTGTGTGTGTGTATGTCTAGGTCAGTGTCTGTGTATCTGTGTATATGCTGGATTGAACTCAGAGCTTGGCACTATCTTTTAGCTTTTTTCTTTCAGGGGTGGCACTCAACCACTTGCTCCAAAGCATTACTTCAGAATTTCTTCTGCTTGTTAATTGGAGATAAGCTTCTCTTGACTTGTCTGTTAGGGCTGGCTTTGAACTGCCATCTTTAGATCTCAGCCTTTTTAATAGGTAGGAGTGCAGATGTGAGTCACTGGCACCTGACTCAGGCCATAATTTTGATACTTGCTTCAAGATCTCTCTCTATAGTCATCTATGAGAGGTACAAAATTATAAAGCTTAGGACGAAGTAGATAGATGTATGTGGCTGTAGGCATATAGAAGTATCTGTTTCTTTCAGGAATGGGGTGAAAAATAGAGAAGAGAAACCCCAGTGGAAGGATAGAGTTGCTAAGAGATCTATTTGGCACTATAATATGGTAGAATTTAATCATGTGTCTGCAATTAATAAAATTACTTGCCTCCCCTCTTTAAGGCACCTTTGCCTTGACATCCTTAATCTCAGCCAATGCTGTGGAGCGACTGGTCCCTCAGAGCAGCCAGAACCTCACCACACACAATCACTCAAGTGTGCTAGGCTTCTCTGACTTTGAGATGCAGAGGATTGGAGTTGCTGCAGCAGTTTCCTTCTTGGCTGGTGTGATCCAGGTAAGTCATTTTGAGACTTGTAAATAATAGCAAGGGAAACGGTGGTGGTGGAAAGGTGATCAGCACTGGTTATATTTGTATTCTTGCTTATAGGTTTGTGTCTCCAGATAAGTTAAAGGGCAAGTTTTATCTTCAAGTGTTATATCTTCATGCAGTTATTGTCTTCTCCATCCAGTAGTTACTCTATACATGTTGTTCAAATTACTGAATTAGAATCAATACTGTGAAGAATTGAGGAAGTTGTAGTTGACTTTTTAAGAAACAGATTTCTAAAGACATGTTTTGAAAATAGAATAGATTCTCTGTGAGGCACAAAGTCTGTCATTGTCCTTGTGTTCACACAGTGGCCAGATTGTCATGGAAAGGGGTGTTGTTGGAGAAATTTGTACAGTGAGAAGGAGATATAACTAAATTTTAGAATCTTACCCAATTTTAACATTGTATATTGGTTTTATTGTTGACATCAGTGACAAAGAGAACTTTGTTTGCATCAAAAGCATTGTGATCTTTAGAGCCAGTGTTGTGCCACTTTCAAATGATACCAAAGTCTTTGCCACGTTCACAACCCGACATGAATATAGCTGCCAGGTTTGTTGGCTTCATTTTGTGCAAAATGTCAGAGTTAGATATTTTGTTGTTTCTAATTAGTAGTCAAAGGTAGAAAACTTAGAAGTAACTATAAAATGAATAAAGTGTTTAAGTCAATTTTTGTCATTGTGAGAAAATAATGGGTGAGAACAACTTAAAGAAGACCAGTCCTCTAAGCCTGGGATGAAGCAGAGCTTGGTGGTGGGGAAGGAAAAGTTGCTTACATCATGGCAGCCAGGAAATAGAGTGCAGAGTGGAAATCTGGGGGCAAGGAAGCCCTTCAAGGGTACAGTACCAGTGCAATACATTCTCCAATTAGGCCTGACTTCCAGGTTTCCAACAATTTTCCAGTCATGCCATTTTCTTGTACATTTTTCAATAGCTTACCTGTAGTAAATTATGTCAGGACCCTCACAATCGATTTATTTTCCCCAGATAACACCCCTTATCCCTGGAGGCCAAACTTTTGCCACCTGAGCTTTTGGAGCTCATAGTAGACATGGGATTGCCTGTCTGGTGGTCATTTCTGCTTACTCCCTTCTTGTAAAATGAATTATATGGTTACAAACCCTGGGTGGGTGTCTTTGTTTGGGGTTAGGAATGTCTCTCTAAATATGTCACATTATTTATAAGACCAAGATTATATATAAACCAAGAGGCAGAAAAATGGTTGGTGACTGCCTAGAATTAGGTAGAAGGAAGAAGAAGAAGATGAAACTAGATGGCCAATCATAATTTCTATGGCTTTTATAACTATGCTAAAAATAGCAATAAAAATGAAACAAAAACTAGTTGCCTGGGAACTCTGTGAACTTTAATTTTTCAAACATGATTGAATTCCTATACTCGCACAGGAAGGCTTAGTGATCTTTCATTGCTTATTTGTTCTCTATGAGGCCTTGTGAAAGACTTACCATTTGTCTCCATTTAAAAAATAACCAGCCATATGAACTGGTAATTGAAACACGAATATGTTGCATTGCTTTGTCATATATGCTTTCCCTAATTTCTGTTCATTTGAAAAAGAAATCTCTGCATTAACACAAAAGAACTTGTTTAACCTTGACCATTATTTTCCAGTCTTGTTTCTCTTTGAACTTACGAGTTAGTTTTCAGGTTTGGATTTCTTTTATTTTATACAGTGAAGGATAACTATTTTTATGTACATATCAGTATTAGTTTTTAAATCTAAGAGAATAAGTAATTCACAATAAGACTAGTAACTTTGTGCAGAGTTCTCATTTAACTGATTTCCATGAATTTAAAACAATCATCAGTCATTTTATAATTATCTAACATATTTGGATTAAAATTTTTAATTTAGTTAAGAATTCTTACGATAAATATAAATTTAAAAGTTGGGATTCTAACACTATAAACAACAGAAGACAAAAATTCTCAAACTGAAATTCACTAGAATTATGAGTAAAATTTAGTAAGGATGAAACAGGATATTGTTATAGATAACATAAGTAATTTCATTTTCATGGCCTTTTATTACATGTAAATCTGATCCAGATAGTTGCATGTTTTCCCTTATAACTTCATCAGACATCTGTTTTCTTTCCTCTTTAGCTCTGGTCCTTGATATGTGACCTATGTTTTAGCCAATTTTTGAACAGATGGCTGGACTTTATTTGACCTGCAAACTCATCTGTACATCACCAACGAGAAAGTTAGCATCTTTTTAAAAAATGGTACTGAGAATTGATCATAGGACTTCATGCTTGCCAGGCAAGCACTCTACTTCTTGAGTACCGCCCTGTCCTTTTGCTTTCCGCTTATTGTTGTTGTTGTTGTTGTTTTTCACATCTGGTCTGGAGGCTAACTTTGCTGAGAAAATCTCCAGACTACACTAGGCCCAGTTCCTTTGGATCTTTTTGTATCTAGCTTCTCAGTCACTTTTTCCCCCTTTGCTTTTCTTCCTCAGAATTGAAATGCGCTGAATATCAGGAAAATGACCAAGTATCCATTTTCTATAAACACAGGAAGTGTTTTATTGCCTTGTTTTATTTGTGTATTCTTCAGTTTACACACTGTTTGTTTCCAGGTTGATATGTTTCCCTCTGAAAACTAAGCGGTAAAATTATTTAGGTTAAAAGATTGAACTGTTTCCTAAAATCAGGGTGTAGCTGAGGGAGGATGAAAGAGAAGGCTGAATACTCTCAAACTAGAGTATCTGCCACTCTGAAATTGGAACAGGGAAACCTTTTGGGGGTGGTATTTCATAGAGATATGGGTTTAGGGAATGTGACAGAAGGGATGAAATTAATTGGTGTAGAGCTTTATAAAAATAGTGAATGTTTATTGAGGGCTTCTCAATGTATGTAGAGATAATCATGTTTTTTCTTGAAACGATCATATTGCGTATTATTTTTCTAATAATGAGTCAACTTTAAAGCGGCTCAAATATTATTCCTAATGACCATGGTTTCTTTTTTTTTCCTCATATGTTGTTGGGCATTATTATTATTATTATTTTAATACTGTTAATCTAGTAAATAATGAATTTATTTATTCAATACTTGCATTTTTCTCCAATGGTATTGGAGTGTAGCTTTCTTTGACAAGGAATGACAACGTTTTTCTTCTTAGTATCCCTTTCAGTCCTCTTAGCATAAACAGCCCTTTTCGGGGAGCATTTAGTCTTTGAAGAAGGCTTTGTAGAATCTTTCTTTGAAATGATCAGTTATCTAGTGCTTTTTACTGTACTCATAATATTTCCTGACAGTCTTCTCTAATTTTTTCTACAAAAAAATCTGGTTCTTTTAATGCAGGCAAATTTGGAAATCTGTATTTTGCTTGGAAATGATCATTTATCTTGATTTTCAAATTTATTTGCTTGTAGATCTACCCAATCAATTATGATTCCTTTTTAAACTTCAGTTTTATGCTTGGTAGTGATATGTATATTTTGCTACTTCAGTTTTTAAAAGCAGGGTTTTGAAATAGACTAACTTTTTCCCATTGCTATTTCTGCTTTAATTTTTATTTTTTCCTTAGTATATTTGGGGTTATTTGTTGATTTTTTAAATTAGTTTTCAGCTGGATATTTAATTAATTTCTAATATGTTTTTCTTTTTTATTGATTAAAAACATTTAATGCTACCCATTTTTATACTCAGTTTTTCAGAAATATTTTGTGGATTCTCATATGTAGTGTCTACCTTTTAGCATTTTTATAAGAACTAAAAATTGAATGATTTTAATTTTATTTCTCCTAATAATTGTTTAAGACAGAAGTTGTAGATATTTTAGGTAGGTGGGTCTTTCTGTTTTTTTGGTTTTGTGAATAATTTCTAGTGTAATTGTACTGTGGCCAGGAGGTGTTGGTTCTAGTAATTTAGTGTTACTTAATTTACTAATGGTTTTCTATAATCAGCATTTTGTGGATGGTTGTTCAGCACAAAGAGGAAAATAGGTATAGGTAGCTGTAGAAGGGAAGCATGAATCTGTAGTGCATAGTAATAAGTCAGCCTTATTGTTTGTGAGTGTTCATTATTTTGTCTGTCTGATTTTTCTTGCTCTGATAATAGTACATACATTTTTGTGGACTATCCTCACCAGAATGATGGCTTCTAGTCGTTTGTTTGTTCACCACTTAGGTAAGTTGTAGGTGTGTGTATATTTGCAAATACGAATGCGTCCCAACCTTTCACTCATTGTCATTCAAGCAAAATAATATATTCCTGTCCCTCTCGTTTCTTACCATTTTACTTAGAGTGCTATTTTAAATAGAGCACAGTTTTAAATAGAGCACACTGACACAGTCACAATCATGTAATGTGATATGTCCTGTGTTTTATATTAAATTATGGGCCTGTGAAAGGAATTTTATTGCAACATAATTCCCATAAAAATGCCATGCTTGTAGAAGATACAGTCTGATGCATTTTGACATATGTAATCAAGACAGTGATGGTGTTTGTCACTGCCCTTGCCATCTTTTGTCATTGATTCCTCCTTCTCATTTACACCCTTTCCTTCTTCCTTTCCATGTCAACCACTTCCTGTTACTGTAGATGAGCTTACTTTTTTCTCAGGTTTTATGAAAGCAGATTTACTATTCTGTTTTTTTTCTCTCAAATTTTCCCATTCAGTGGAACATTATTATTGTTGATTACTTATGTTTATTGTGATGATTTTAGAACATAATAGAAGTTTCTGTGATCAGAACTTATATAAATTTCTGATTGTGGATAATACTGAAGTACTCATGTTTTTGTTATCACTTTATCATATTTAAAGAAATCAGCAAATATGGATAACACTGACCAAGATGCATTAGACTCATTCATTCGTGAGTCCATTCACTCATAAATTGTACTCATATTGAATTGAAACTTCTGTAAAACTATTTAAAGACAAAAAATAATAAGAAACCAAGTAAGAAATCATAGTAAGAAGCCAAA